GGGGAAGTTCCTAGATGAAACTGAAATTGAAGGTTTGTACCAAAATGAATCCTTTCATACAGAAATCAGTTCTAGTTCTAGTAGTGATAAATAATAGATGGGCTGTCTAATCAAAATAATTAATGTTATGGTTTATCTACTTTCAAGAAAAGTTTGTCATATCAGCTTTACAATATATCCAAACTACAGAGCCACTCAAAGAAGGAAATTGTACTTATTTATTTATTTAAGCTTCTCACAAAAGGTTCATCAATGTATTTTCCCAGATGACGCAAAATGGACAATGAAACAGCTGGAAGGAACAGTCATCGCAGAGCATCAGGTGTAGCTGACAATCTAGTGTAGCCTGCGAAATACTTTTTAGTCATGCAGGGCTCCTGTTCACCGCTAAACGGTCACAGCTTCAGTGCAAGAACGTTGAGAGCCATCTACTTCTGAAGCTTAACCATCACTTCACTGAGTGAAGAACTAGCACGTTTTGGCAAAACGCGCAGAAGCACAGACACACAGTTTATGGTAAAGTGAGACTTCTAATGTTATTTTCTATCTGTTGAGCCTGCTGTGCCATTTGGAGGGCAACTGAATATACAATATGTCTTACACTGGAAATAGTTTACACTGTTCAAACATACACGTTACCTACAGTAGGTATTTGTTTTGAAAGTTATGTTGTGAAAAAGTGAGATTAGGAAACTTGTGTTTCTTAATTTGCTATTTTGTAAAGATATTTATTTTTACTCATTTATTTTATTTTATTATTTGGAAATGCCAGAATTTGTACATTATTGGCTGCTTATATAATTTCTCCAAAAATAAATCGGACATTACTGTCAGTTACTCAGTAGTTGAGTAGTCTTTTCACCAAATACCTTTTTTACTCTTACTTGAGTAATATTTTGACTACTTTTTACTTCTACTTGTGTAATATTATTTTGAAGTACAGCAACTCTTGAGTACAATTTTTGGCTACTCTACTCACCTATGTTTGTTTTGTGACCAGTGCTCTTATTAAAGAGAGAGTGTTCTGCTTTTACTCATCTGGCCTTATAATTACAATAAATCCTCAGCATTATCGTCGGCTTTACATGCTGCCCCTGACAATTAAAGACTATATAGAATAAATACACTGTAGCTGAAGACGCTGTGTATTCATTTAAACAGACAACCTGATAGTAGTACTAGATAGATAGTAATAGTAGAAGACATGGTTGAAATAACATTTGGGTCAAGAAACATAAACTAAGGCTTTCACATTTTTGATATTCAGATTGTTCTGCCTGTTATAAAGCCCATCTGTGCCACCAGAATGAGAAAAAAAAGACAATAATAAAGCCTTTCCAGCAGTGATGAGTCTGTCGCTGCTGCTCCCCTGTGACTGACTGACACAAAGCCAGATGAGACGAGGGGGTCTATTGACTCCACTTTATTCAGCCAAGCTGGTCTAATTTGGCTGCCTACTGTAGATAGTGTTGGTTTCTAGCTGCACCATATTTAAAAGGTTTCTTTTATTTTTGGTCTTTGTGCAGGTGTTTACCATTTCTAAGCAAATAGTAAAGAAAGTGGGCAAGGAAACAAAATAGCTTTCTTCGTTTTTGCACAAACAATTCCAATTGGCTCCTATTTTAACTTCAAAGAAACCATTGAGTTTTAACAACCTAGTCACTAAATGTATTTATGATATTCTCTTTTCAACAAGAAAGAATTTAAAGTGCAAATGATGTTTCCATTTTTTTCCACTTCATCAGGGAAATGCTGGAATTAACCCTGGGGATGGCAACATAAACCAAGATACTATCATATGTTGCCCATGATAATAATCAGGGATTCATGAAAAAGACAATGCTGAGGTAAGACCGTCATCTACACTGTGATACATCATCCTTTAACTGAAAGGGCTATGAATGATTCCTGGAGAGAGAGAGAGACATGATGCCGCTCACCCCCCCAAAAATCCAGCTTCCATGGAAACTCAAATGAGGCACACTCAACACAGTTTCTGCTTCCTCATTATTAAGCTCTTCAGCCTGCCTCTGTACATCTGTGGATGTTCTTCTGATGTACTATTGGGGTTCACGATGAACAGGACAGAGCAATCTGCAGAGCATTGAATAATGCAGGGCTCCGTGTGATGTGGGGTGCACCATTACTGCACCAGCACAGCTCCTCTCCCTCGTCATTTCTACTCTTCCCCATCCCCTCCTCTCTGGCACATACTCCATCTGACACACACAAATGTAACAGTCTTGGTCTTTGATTGTGTCCCCGTGTCTGATTTGATGTTTGTCTATGCTGGTCTGTGTCAATGCCTCCGTTTCAGGTGCAAATTTTCTTTTTTTTCTTCCTTGAATTTTTCTTTCTATGACATTGCTGCCCATCTCATTTTGAAGACACACATGCAACAAAGCACAAGCTCATAAAAACTGATGTGCACATAACTCTTCTCCAGCACAGTGCCTCACTACCTAACTCACTAATGATACAGTAATGAATTACTGTACCATCCTAATCTGGGCAAGATAGCAAAAACTAAAAAAGGGAGGGGGGAAAATCCTACATTGTATAATTAATACCAACGGAGAAACTAGTTTGGTCACCCATGTACTGTTATATTTAGCACTAACACACAGCAAATAACAAATGCTCCAAGAGGAACTTGGTGCAACTCAGGAGCCCTCCTATCCATTAAATGAACTAGGACTAGGTCTAAATCCCTGCTCTGTCAGGATGTGGTGCTCAGTACAAAGAAAACCAAAGTGTTAAATGGGCTAGATAATCCAGTTGATCTGAATGAACAGAGTAAAAAGCAGCAACTATTGAAAAGTTCAGCAATTTAATAATAGTGACAAATGTACAGTAAACTACAGTAACAAATTCAAAAAATAAATTCATATGCTTCAAAACCTAATTTATAGAAATAATTTAGAGTCCTACTTTCAACTCCTGCACCAAGAATAAAACATTTTTAGTCAGCTACTGTATGTAGTGACTGAAAATTATTTTTCGAAACAAACATATAAATTATAAATGACATATAATGTCATTTAGCCTAACATATTTTACACGGGCTTCTGTTTCCTAAAACATTATATATAATGTGTGGATCCATTCTGTTCCACTCATGTTGATACACTGACGAGACCCATAGCAGTTAAATGAGACCCTGCCCAACCACAGCCAAAATCCTTCTCCGTCTTTAGCCTCAAGAAATGTACATCTGTCCTGACTGAAACTGAATTTAAAAAACTTTCTTTTTATGATTGTTACATTTGTGAAGGTGTAAAACATTTAGTACAAGTGTCTGCAAAATAACAGCATAACACCATAGTATCTAATAAAGACATTTTGTCTTTAGCTTTTGCCAGCTTCGTCTTTATGTTCTCATTCCTTCACTTGAAGTGATTTCTCCTTTGTGCCACTTCACAGCCTCTTCAGTTTGTTTTCCTTCTCTGATCTACCAACAAAGGATTATTGAAGGTTTTCCCTGCACTTTTCATTCAGACATCAAGGCCGACTCAGACACTTCACATGCTCAGTGTCCAATTACAGAAACAATCACGCACACACAGGCACATATTAAGCAGATCACAGGAAAAAAAAAAAGAATATGTAATCATCTCAATTTAGGAAGACAGTTGTTCAGATAAAGATAAAAACATATTGTATGTGGCTTCTCAATGCTAAAATGCTGCGATTTACAAAAAAACCTCCTTCTCTGATCTACCAACAAAGGATTATTGAAGGTTTTCCCTGCACTTTTCATTCAGACATCAAGGCCGACTCAGACACTTCACATGCTCAGTGTCCAATTACAGAAACAATCACGCACACACAGGCACATATTAAGCAGATCACAGGCAAAAAAAAAAAAGAATATGTAATCATCTCAATTTAGGAAGACAGTTGTTCAGATAAAGATAAAAACATATTGTATGTGGCTTCTCAATGCTCAAATGCTGTGATTTACAAAAAAAACAAAAACAAAAACAAAACATATGCCCATGTCTGCTGTTATCATATCAACATATTAACTTTTAAATATTCATACAAAACAAAGAACACCACTGCCTCTTTTGTCACCTAGAGGAAATGACTCTCGATGCCCCACGTTCCCAGATGATCATCTCTTAATTCTACATTACACACACACACACACACACACACCAAAGTACAGCGGAAGAAGGGAGCCGAAGCAGGAGACATACAGTAGAACAGGAAGATCACTGTTGTGTTTGATCCCTAACATCCCATGAGAGGACACATAGAGACACGACTGTTTTTGTTCCTCAAATGCAGCAGAAAGAATCATTTGGTGCATAGTAGAGTTGGGAGGCAGCGTTACAAATCAATGAGCTGAGTTTAGGCATGTAGTGATTTGGTTAAATGCTGCAATTTAAATAGACTTTTTGTGATGGGCAGTCATTTCTATTGACAGCACTATATAGAACACTGTAGTCAGTAATTGCTGAGATCTAGAAACAGTGATGACCAGGCAGACTGTAAACAAGCCAGCAGCCAGACTTGGCTGACTTTCGTCTGCATCAAGCACTGTGTTGGCTAGTGCACAATCCTAATTTATTTCTGTAGCCTGTTAATCAACTAATTTCCAATGTGATGTTTTCTGAAGTTCTAAAATCCCTTCCCAGCTATCTATTACTCAAACAGGATATTCTGGATTGTATTTTATGATTATATCATTTTTTTGCAGATATGTGATGCAACTCGCCCCCATCAGTGTAGCCCCTGGTGTTTTGTACAATAAGGAATGCTTTGAGGGTTTCTTTAAAGTCTGTAAAAACACCTGACCACTTGTGTGCTACCATTCCTCACCGGGTACAGTTAACAGAAATAATGATGGCATAACTACAAACATTAGACCTAAGCTTTAATTAAACACTCTACTGTATGACATTTAGGGTCAGCCTCAAGGTAATAATGTCAGTCCATTAATATCTCCACAAGTGACAAAAATGCGTGGTTCTGTTTGCATTTAAGTGTCTTACCGGGTGATGATTGATCACTGGATGCTACTAAATTGGCAGGTGTGGGTCTCCGTCTTCTGATCTGAAAAATTAGAACAGGTTCGTGCTGAAGTGAGAAGGAAAACATTCCATTTATCAAAGTAAAGCACACTGATACTTCTGAAAGCTAAGAATCTTCTGCAAACCTTTGTGTAAACAGCTTACTGGAGGATATTTTAAGTGTTTTGAAGTGATGCATGTCCAGACCTAGTTACACAGGCTTTGCCCTTAAATGCGTCATATTGGCTTAATCAGAATGCTAATAAGCAGTGCTCTGAAAGCCACATCTTATTACTCAGCCAATTAGGGGGAGTCTAGCCATCTGCCCTCAGAACTGGTCATATCATTGACAGCAGCCATTGTCTCTCATGATGCTGGTAGCCAGTAACAGGCCTGTGTAAATTATATTTTGAGTTTGGGTGTCCTGTGCTTTGAAGATATCTGAACTGGATGGATCTCAGCGCAGTGAAATCAACAAGGCAACTTGCTTCTTGGCCCATGACTGGTGGCGTGTAGAGGGTTCTGGTTTTGCTATTCTGGGATAATTTATTAGAAGGCATGCACGATGTACAAAGCTGCTCAGCAGTTAGTGTTCAGATGTAGAGCTGGAAGAAAATTCTGCCTGAGGGTATAAAACCCAAAGTTTCCATGTGTATCCTTTGGTATTTTTAACATTTAACAGGCCAACTTGTTCATTGTTAAAACACTACTAAGACCATAGTGGGTGATGTAAACAGTTTTTTGACCAACATGTCAGAATCCCATATTTCATTTAAGAATATAATCTAGATTACCAATAGGTGTGGTACATTATGGAACTGAAAATGTGCAACTACTACAAACTTTTACCTAAATCTAGTGGATTTTTGGAGAAGGGAAGTGAAAAAAATATAGCTAGAAAAGTAGTGGTAAATATCAACTATTTGAAGCATGAGCAGCGATGTCTCAAACAGTTAATAAGACAGTACCATATGACCCTGTGCTGTGTGTGTTGGCTAATCTGCAGTTTGAGCCCTGCATGGTACTATTCCTAAAAATGATTAGTTTCACACTGTGAAGACATAAAATACAGATGTAACTACAGAAACAAGGTATAGTAATAAAAATGAGCAGTCAGTAGTATCTCAGTAACACAGTCTAATTGGGTATTCAGATTTGAACAGGCTTCATTACCTTTCAGCTCACAGCCACAGAGTACAGGAAGGCTGTGTGAACACTAAGAGGCACTGAGTGCATTTTCACTTCTTTTGAAGTCGTGTTAGCGCTTGGTACACTTTTCCAAGAAAATTCACATCGTGAGGAGATGTATGGCAACTACTCAGTGTTGCCCTCTTTGCAACTGTAACCTTCTCTTTGAGCTTGTGGTTTTTTTTCTCCTTTCTGTAGCCGGGCTAAGTATCTCTAATGGTAACATCATCTGTTTAGGTTCATAAAAACAGAGATAGACATCTTCACACCAGAGCGTTCCGTCTATTATTGGATAACAATCCAATCCTGCAAAAGCACAAATAAATCCAGTTATACCCTTGAGGTACCTTTGGGCTACATTGTAATGCCACTTGTGAATTGCAGCCAGTTGCAGCATGGTATACTGTGCCTGAGAACAACACACCTGTTTGAGCTGTGCAGTTGATGGTTTAATGACATCAAACTGCCTTTTTAAGACATTTTTCCTGCTCACATTTTGCTTTTGTTAATAAATTTGTCTTGTGTATTTGAAATCCATTTAAACTACTGAGAAGCACTCTGGGGCCAAGGTTTTGAACCCCCCCTCCCAAAGCACAAAGAGCCATGGCTGTGTAGAACTGATTATACCCAGAGTCAGAGTGAGCTCCATGATCCTTTGCTCACACAAATGCCATCGCTTACTGAAGAGGCTCACCCCTCAAACCACCCTGCCTTCCTTTCAGCCCACAGTCCATTTAAAATGCACTTCTGTCACTTCTCATAACAATGAACAAAAACAGCCTTCAAATGTGATGGGTGGACAGGAACAGCCGTGCATGCCTGATGTTCTTATTGTGTGGGGGCAGTGGGGAAATCACTCCTGCTTGGAAAATATAGGTCAGGGCAAGATATGCCAGTGCCACTACTGCTAAAATAGGAATAATAACTAACGCAAACTTAATTTTTTTACTTCAAATATTTCTTATTTTCTTCTGAACTTATTAAACCCAGAGATACTGAATGCTAACATCACTTTGTTTTTTACACTGTTTATATGTTGATTATTGAGGATCATATTGTTGTAAAGACTACATTAAATTCAGAGGTGTTCCTAATAGTCTGACCCACTCATGTATGTAGTGTAGCAGGGAAGGACAAATATAGAGACACCTTTGAATACAATGTAGTCCAGTACAACACCACCTTTAACTATGACCTCAATAATCAACATATAATAGATATAAAAGAAATCCAAAGAGAATTATTTGGAATTTGAGGGAAGTACTTCTGCTTATAAACTAGTCAAAACCAATCACAGTGTACTGTATAAATAACCACTGCGTTTACCCTTATTTTTAAAGTAGTGTCTTTTATTAAAACCCTCAAACAGAACTAATGTCATTTTCTGTAGTGGACTGGCTATTGTGGTGAGTTCTCAGTGGTAGCTTTTAGGTTTACATCCATGCATTAAATGGCAAAAATCTTTTAACATACTGTATATATAATTTAAATTTCAGAGGAATTGCATGAAGAGAGTTGGGGGAGGCACAGCTTTTGCTCAGGCTTTATTGCTTAAAAATGAACTGACCTTGGGAGCTTTCTTATCATATAATAACTGAACTCATAACTGGCCGAGGTGGCAGAGGTAGAAAAGAAGATTCATAGTTTACAATCCACTCTGGGAATTCCTGAAGCTTAAAGCCTGTCCTTCTTTACTGTGATATGCCTTTGAGGAAATCAGCAGTAGTTTTATAATCCCTGCATCAGAGTTGCTTTGTGACCTTCAGCACTGATCAGCACCCTGAAACAGAAAAAAGGGGCATTCTAGCCCAATAAATATGGAAGAAATAATAGTTAATGGGCAGGTGGCAGGTTAGGTCTCTACAGAGCTGTCAGGAAATCATAAGGATCCAGTACACATCACAGCCCTTTGCAGTTGGAGAGGCTTCATGTGATTCCTCATCCTTCAGGCTGTTATTTTAACTATGATCTTGGTATTGTTCAAACTAAAATTTGTGTTCACTCATTATAAATCCTCACAGACACATATGGTCTCATTTGGCTTTCAATAGAAAGAAGTATTCACAGAATTCTGAAAACCCAGATCACCGACTACTTTCTTTTATCAGTTTCTTCAGCACTCAGCCTGCTTCTCACCTTCTGTTTTTTTGTTTTCATCCCATGAGCTCTCCCCATCATCTTCTCTTTCATTGACTACTACCATTTAACCAGCTGTAGGTGGGGAGCAGGGGTTCAGATGGAATACATAAACTGTAACAGATCCAAGAATTGTTTTTCTGAGAACTATAAAAGTAAATACTAGGAATCAATCATAAAATAAAAATGTTAAAGTGTTTTCAATTAAACTTTTAAGTTATCTTGAGCCTGTTGCCTTTAATCTGTAAAACATATGTAGGGTGTGGTGACAATAATGAAAAACTGCACTAAAAATTCTTCTTGGAAAATGGCCTTCCCCAGGAAATTTAGATTAACTGTTATGTTCTCAGGGAAGGACAGAGATGGGCTGACAAATCATTGAAGGGAATATTAGGGAGTAAATTGTCTCAGCCCTGAAATGTCTGTTCTAAAAGACTATTACCTGAAAATGTCACAATTCATCATCTCACCAAGGAATATAGTGCCTTCATTTATGCTTGTAGTTTTCTCAAATAGGTCTAGATGCTCCTCATCTAATCCATTTATAGAGGTAATAAACACATTCATTATCAACTGTCTATTGCTCTGGAACAACTGTCTGACATATACTCTGTCTCTTTCTTGCTGAGAATTCAAAGACACAGTCAACACCACTTTCATGACTGTATGCTAAAAACTATGAAGCTGGAGCTTAGCAGAAAATGTGGAAAAGGGGATAAACCAGTTTTGTGGCTCTGACAAAGGCAGCAAAATACCCCAGTCCATTGATGAGGTGTGGATGCTGATGAAGGAGGGCTCTGGCAAAATAGTGCAGGGTTGTTTTTATATTGAGTCTGGGTCAGATTTTTCTGTAACACATGATGTCATTCAGAACGGCGCTGGATTGGCCAATCAAATATACTTTATGTTCTTCATATATTACTTTTTAACATGGACAGCATATTTCTACTGCTCACCTTAAGATTGTCATGACAAAGGATAAAATAGTTGCTGCTGTGATTCTGAGAATTACAGACTGGTTTGGCACCCGGTAGGTTTTTAAATGCATTCAGTTGTTATGCTAACTGGATATCTTCGTGTGTCATATTTCATGTCTCACCAGTAACCAACATAGAGCAAACGCTGCCCCTGCCACATTTTTAATGGAGGTCTAGTCTGAATCCCTGCTAAAGCTAAACGATTAACACAGCAAATCAGAAGTTGCAGTTTTATCTGAGATCATGTACCCTGTTTTTCTTTTGCTGGATGCAGTGACTTCCTAGTCTTGTTGGCAGACTGTTTGCCCATGTGTCCAGTCTTTATGCTAAGTTAAACTAATCATTTCCTGGCTCCAGCTTTGTTTTGAACAAACAGCTAACTCTCAGCAAGAATAGAAATTTACACATTTCCCAACAGTATTCCTTAAAATAGAGAGACTATAATATGTAATACTGAACAGTATATTATAATATAATACATTATTTTCTAACATACCTTGGCCTCTACTAGGTTATGATAATAGGGAAACACACTGTATCTGAATGGATAAGAGGACTGTGAATGTATGCCTTTGTTGTCAGACCTCAGGGAGGCTGTTCTGACTGACAAGCAGTTCTCTACGGAGGCTGATTCACCATGCTCAGAGGTGTCAGGTTGCAGAGATTACTGAACCATGGGTGAAGCCCCCTGGCGTGACATTCATAATTGTGCTTGCAAACACAAGCACGTACACACGTTTCCTTTTTCGTTTTTATTTTTTTTAACATCTTGAGATTTCATATGTTTATCTTTTTTCTGATTGTTAAGCTGTTTGACTGTCTGTATCAACTACACTCTTGAGAATGCGGGCTCAGTGGCCACTCACAGTGGTCTTACCCATAAATAGAACATGGATCCTAAAAGTCCCAGTGGCAATCAGCCAGGCTTGGTCATGCTTATTGAGGCTGAGAGCTAAGAACTCTCTTGAGGTTTTGCAGAAAAAGTAAACAAAATTTTACAGCTAAAAAGAGACATGTCTGCTGGTAGAGAGGAGCTGGAGGTGAAGGCCCAGACACATGACAAAATAAATACAGACAGTGGACACTAACTCCCTAACACTCAGACACAAACAAGACAGACAGACAGATGTCGGCAGCTTTAAGAACATCTGAACCTTTTAAAGAGAAAAATTGCATTGCAGGGATGCACAGATAGAAGATTGATAAACAGACAATTAGACAAACATTCATTGTTACAAATATACCACATGCATCAATTTACAGAACGGTTCCTTATATTATACACAGTGTTTCTTCAAGCAAACACTAACATAATTAGCTCCACACCAACAAGCAATCCAACATGTATGCCCTGCTCCTGGCAGCTTTGTCAAAGTTAAAATCCTGAAGATCTCAGGCATGGTTAATTTGGCGAAAGCTATGCTGGTAACGGCAAATGCAGTGAATTGATTCAGCAAACAAAGTCATGTTGCCTAAAAGGGTCTCAACCAAAGCTAAAAGCCACTAGAAGCTTTTTTTTTTTCCTCTGAAGAAACGGAGTCTGGCGGAGCTCTGATATACACCACAACCATGTTTATGGCCCTTTGAGAGTCACTGTATAGATACCTGTGTTGCAGCTAAGCTACTGCATGAAGCTCTCTGGTGTGTTGTTCAGCAGCCTGGTTGTTTATCGCAATTAAAGTTACTGTTCATCAGCCCTAAATATCATGTTAATCTCTGAATACAACATACAGTAGATATTGTAGTACCCATGTGCACTATCACTGCAGAGGAGTAAATCTCATTTCTAATTAAGTTTTCTAGCTCCTTCTAGGCTTGCTAATGTTAATACACTTAGTGTAGCTGCTTTTTCTGATTTTATGATGCACAACTCAAACTGATCCATTGTCAAAACAATGCCTGAAATGACTGTCTTGTTTTGTAGATGGATTTTTGATGGACAACAGCTGTCAGTGCTAACGGTGACAAATTAAATTCATTCCATGCAACTGCTTCACAATAAAACTCCCTCCCATGTTTCATCAGTTTAATGTTCTTAATGTGAAGCAGCACTAAACTTTAGGTTTACATAAGCAGTAACTCAGTGCAGCTCTGAGAGTGAACAGTAAACAGTACTACTGTATATTTCTATGTATTACAAATTACTGTAAAAAAACAACTTGGTACAATAATCAAAAGACTAAGTAGAACAAATTAAACTAATCTCAGAATAGAGAGTGAGATGGGACTATTAACATTAGCACTAATATGTTCAGAATATACCCTGTACACAGTACTATCCATTAATGCAAGAGGACCTTTCAAATATATGGAAACGTGAATGAATTGAATAGCTAAATGCCAACCATAAATATCAAAGCATAAATAACCTGATTTGATTTTGTGAAAGTTAAGGAGCTAAAGTTTTATTCCAAAATGCTGTATATTGAAAATTAGGTAGCACATAATTATCTTCAGTTCTTCATTCAATATTCTACTACTACAATAACAGCAAGGACCAGGCTGTTCCTACTCTCTTTTAAACAACACTACTGCTTTTTTTTATGTCAGACACTGCTGAGCTTCTTTATTCTACCGAATTTTACAATGAGGAGAAAATTCTTCAAGGTAACTTTGATGAAACTGAGGCACTGTTAAGTGTATTTCTTTTGTAGTCACAGTGCATTTTCTTTCAGACTGCAGCTACAACAGTTGGAAGTTACATGCAACACCCCTCTGATTTCAATTTAACAAATTAGGTGACTTTTAACACCAAATGATCTTTTTCTATAGCAGGCATGATGTCACACATAACAGCAATATAACTAATGTCCTAAATAACCACATGATGTTTAGGTGAGCTAATTGGGGTTTGGCATTTTGTGTGTTGTCTCACTGTCTTGTCTGATCTTTGTAAACCTATAAAACTTTATCATACCAGTGGCTCTCAGTTAATCCAAGCCTTACCTTAATTATGTTCCCACTCAGTCCAATAAAATGTCCTCTGAATGGCAAAACCATACACATACATGCATGCACAACGTAACTTGTACTTTGAGTTTGACAGTCACTATGGGGAAAAGAGTGAACAGCAGACAGAGATGGGAAGAATGACGGGTAGAGAAACATACAGTAGACTGAGTGTAGCTGGTCTCATATACTGTATCTTTGCTGGTTTTACTGAAGGCTCATATATAATAAATGTCCTGTTCGTGTTATATTTATAAAAAGAAAATGGGACATCTTTTCACTATAAGCTCTGTGGGCACATGAATTGTACCAACTGGGTTCAATAAGATTTCTTTGCTCTTATTTAATGAAGTGATGTTTTAGGGCCTAAATTAGTGTTGTTTTTTTCTTTGCACACTTCCTCTAGCGACAATTTACTTTAAAATGGGCCATGTCGTGTAGTTACAGTTAAATGATATATTCGATATCGTTGTAAAGAAATCGCATTGCTAAAGTTTTATTTGTAACATTTGTCACTATCTCACTGCGGTACAGTACATGCAGTCACTCTAACCAAAACAACAATAAACCACTGCATACACATGTGACATTGTGCATCTCTGAGAGCTTAAGAAACTGTAAGAGTAGGGGGGAAAAAATCAATTTTAAATTCATCATATTCAGTTTAGCACTGAATCCAAAAGACACAATCTGCTAATTAGGTACATGGGAATAATAAGACACTGAAAATGTGGTTTCGTTAAAGCAGCAATTTGTCATCAACCTATACAATGTTTGGGACACTGCACAGTGGAGTTACTCGGCTATGATTGTAATGCTTGCTTTGATGACTGGAACAAATATTTCCCAGGTTTTTGTTCAAGTATACACTTTGGATATTTAACAAGATTATTGTGGGGAGTATTTAAGATAAAACAGAAACTCTTATGAAGCTTAAAGGTCCTGCATCACCCCATTCTTTGCCTCCTCCTACCTGTTCAGCTGCCTCTGGGTCCAGGTGGGTGTCCAGTAGGGGGACGGTGAACTGTATCTTCCTGGGGCTCCCGGTTTCCATGGTGGTCCTGTCTATCTGAGAGGAGGAAAGGATGAAAAGAAGGGGTGATCCAAGGAAGGAAAATCCGTATAAGAAAAAAAGAGTAAAGAGCTCAGTGAATGTGGCTGAAAAAGGAAACAAGTGTGTTCTAGTTCTCCAGCTTAAGGAAAAGATATGAAAATCTGTGTGGTTTCTGTCTATTTTTAGCTCTTTATTTTATCCTTTAAACAGACTTTTTTCCTGATTATCTTGCTTTATGGCACCGTATTTTTATTCTATCCTGTTGTTTTTCTATCCTCAGCACCTGCTGGTGTCTTTGCTCTGGCTTCACTCTCCTTCCTTTCCGTCTCTTCTGGCTCTCAACACTGAGTCAAGGGCATTCTGGACTAGGACCACCTCTCTTTCACTCTCATTCGCTGTGTCTGATTTCATTCCACATTAAGACCCACCCTCTTTTCACATTCCTTTTTGTCTGTATTGGATACTCAGGGCTGTTCTGCAGCAGCCCCTGCACGAACAGGAGAGCGAGGATGACAAAGACTTGACTCTCTCCCTTGCTCTGTCACTCTCTTTTTCATCCTTGGATCGGTAGGAAAGATGCATCATTGAGCTTCTCCTCCAAAAAAAAGTATTTTTAAAACCCATCTACCTACACACGATTAAATACCCTACACAGTATTTCAAACACAGAGTACCACTCAGACTCACTCTCACTGTTAAAAGAACGATTTAAAAGGCTGACTAATAAAATGCCTTATCACCTTTAACTCCCAGGCAAATGTTTAATACCTGCTATTTTACTTAGATCAATCCTGTATACAGTATGTCACAAGAAAGCCACAAAATGACTGGCTGTGAAATGATTGAGTTTATCTAAATAAGTTTATCCTTGCTGCTGCCACCTGGCCAGCACAGGCTTTATCGATCGCCTCTAGCCTGAGTATCCCTTCCTCGCACATCTACTGGGCCCTGATACTTGACACCAGCCACGAAGCATATGGCTGGTGTTCTCTTCCAGATTTGCAGTACATTTTGGGGAGGCCCTTATTGATTTTCTTCTTTTTAATCCAGACAGTAAGCTTCTCTGAAATATTTGAAAATCAGTCACTATCAGACTACATTTTTAATAAGACCTTCACCAATTCCATACATTCCTCTGTATTGTAAATAATCCAACATGTAATGACTGCTGACAGCCAGATTCAGATGTAAAGCCTGTAACAGCTAATGTAGCCTTGAGCTAACCTCAAGATGGCCATAGATGATAGTCACATCTACTGTAGATCATTTTACATTATGACTATGCAAACAAATGCACTACTTTTGCATTTTGCTTTTATGCATTAGTTGAGACAGAAAATGTGGGTATACAGCAAGGGGAGGGAGGCATGCAGAAAAGGTCCACAGTGGAACTTGAACCAAAGATCAAATGAGCACATGGCATGTGCCAAAGATGACAGGCTTAAATGTGGGTTTATATTAAATAGAGAAGCAATTTTGAATTGGATGGGGCCAGACTTATAGTAAGCAGGTAAAGAGAATATTTTCTCTTCACAATGTATCTGATCTTAAGACCTCCCTGTCTTTATATTCATAAAGATCTGAAAAAAATCCTTTTTATAAAACTTAACCATTGTTGATTTGTTAGAACTGCTCGAGCTGCCCACACACAAAGCACGTTTTCTTTTTCTTGTAGCCAAGAGTGGAAAAAGTGAGCAATAATAAAACACCCCCACTGGAATAGGAGCTTTTCCTAAATTATGTGACAGCAGATAAGCATGTTAAGAAAACAGCACCTGCTTTGTGTCTTTGCATGTGCAAGACAGATAGAGGCCTGACAACAGGTCGCTGCACATTCTCCTGTTTACTCTGAACAAGTGGACACTATGTAAAATTGTAATGTTTTTGTTATCTTTTAACAGCAGTATTTGTGTCTGTGGTTAAGCAACCTTCAGAAAAGAAAGCCCACAGCCTCCCACAGATTGGTAAAGGTTCTGTTTAACCCCCACAGCCTCCCACAGATTGGTAAAGGCTCTGTTTAACTTACAGGTGTAAGTGTGCTACTGGTAGGCCTAATCGTCAAAGCAAACCATCCACATATAGTACATGCACTCCCACCTTTATTTACCCACTCTCTCTTAGAATGAATGACAGCATGCTACTTCGTATGGCGTCGTGGGCAATTATTTTCATCAACATCCCTATTGATTGAGAAATAAGTCAACTAAGAGTAATGTCAGGGTAGCACAGTTAAACAGCAGACAAAGGCCACAGAGGATGCACATATTGTATAGATGTAATCAATGGATGAGGTCATTTTGCATGTATAGGGTCAGGCGTGCACTCTGTAATGATAAAGCAGTGACAAGACACAGTAAAACGAACGTAGAATGGGGGGGTATGAAGTAGCTACCAGGCCATTCTGTAGCACAACGTGAACGTTTCTGTGGGTTCAAAACTAGATCAATGAAAGATATGTATCTCCCAAGGTACAGCTGCCTTGACTGTGATGCATATTATTCTTCCTCATACCTTAGAGGTGCATGCAAGTCCTTCCATCTTTAAACGACAAATGTATTTACTCCTACTATTCCGGACTCCCATCAGTTTCCATTTACGGCAGTATCTTCAGAAAATGTGTTTAAAAAAAAAGCCCACACTGATTTGTAAGCCCTGTTCCAAAACAAAACAGTCAGTGGCTCCCAAAATTCATTATGGGAACATGGAAATCACAAACTTTCGAGGTGTGTGATGAGACTTGGACCAACTGCAACCAAGTAATGTTGTCGAGTTTGGTGGTGTATTAATATGGAGCTAGTGCACAACAAAAGATTGATGAAAACATGCTGTATCTCCAATATACTGTGAATAAAAAGAGCCTTTTTTTAAAAAGTAGAACCAGAACAAAGATGTGCTTGGCAAAATGTTCAGCTTAGCAAGACTGACATGAGTAAAAGGACAAAATAGCAAACATCAGTAAGGTGTGGCCTAGAGGCCTAGCACAATGTGGGCACAAACATACTGTACCAACACAAGACATAAATGATACTAAGAATAGAACTCAGGCAAAAGCTAAGAGAAGGCACTCACAGCAAAAACACTGGAGGAGAGACAGTACTACACAGTACTAACACAGTAACAAAATACTTGGCAAAACTCAAGTAAACTAACAAGATTCTTCAGTTAGAAGACATGAGACAAACATGGGTCTGTGCATACAAAACAACTGACCAGAAACTAATGACAAGCTGTGTACTTGAACAGCATCCACTGAACATAGGGAGCATAGTCCACAGATGGAAGCAGAATCACAGATCCATAAATATGAGGGCACAACGCACTGAATGTCTAACCACAAACTGGTACTGATAGCTGGTGTGTGGCTTGCTTAAATAAAACAGTCAACATGGTAGCTAATAGAAAACAAGTGAGCCTAATTACAGCAGGTGCCCAGAGAGGTAAAGCTGGATCCAGTGAGTCATGTGCGGCAGTGGAAGTGTGTCAAAATAAAAGCATAAATCAGGATGTCTGACTGGGATTGTGACAAACTCACCAGACATATGGGTAGTATCAGGTGGAAAATACAGTGTCAGGTGACTGCAAGGTAAATAAATACATAAATAAATAAAAATATGATTTACTCCCTTTGAGAAAGTGCTCTCCCATGAAGCTGGGTTGGAGGTTCGAATCACGGTGCCTGCAGTCCACACGTCAAAGTGTCCTTGGGCAAGACACTGAACCCCCAAGTTGCCCCCGATGGTTAGAGCCATCGGTTAAGTTGGCGCCACAGCTGGCTGCCTTGGTTCTGTACCGAAAACAAATTCTTTGTGTGTAGCATACTTAGCCAAATAAAGCTGATTATTATACTTACAGTACATCACTGTAACTAGTTTTTATCTGTATTCATCAAACTCACTCTCTTCTAAAGTCATTTTTTAGTGTTTTAACTGTAAACTTCTGTAGCGATCAGCATCTCTGTCCTGCTCAACCACAACCCTGTGACTCACTCAGTGTCTAGGACTTGCATCTACAAACATAAATACTGAATAAATAACTATATTAAATAGTTTTTCAAAAGCTGGCATCCCTATCTAAACATTTGAGGTCAACTAGATGACACACTGTTGAGAAAGGGTTTGTTATAAGGCTTTATTTTTAACTTACTAGGAATATTACTGATGTCATTGGGATTTAGAATGAGATTTTCTTACTTTTGGAACAGAGCCCAAAAGTCCAGTATAAGATCTATATTACAGTGGTACTGCTGAATAAAATGATAGTTTTCTTCTGTCTTCTAACGTAGCTGCAGTGCTGAGCAGAGCTCTTTCTGTAAAAAAAAGAAATTGAAGCGTCTGCTAATAGACTGTCATATCATATGGAATGGAAAACAAGGACGACAAAATAAATAGTTTTAAGGGCTCTTGAGTCATGCACACATCTGCACTTTCCCCTTGACATTGCCATAGCTTGTTTTTAAAAACAAGATTATTCACTCACCCTGTGGCCATTAAAGCCTGTTTTCTGGGACAGATTGTACTGTGCATGACCATGCACATGAATGAAACTCCCTCTCCACTGTTTCAAGAGACCATGAGGTAAAATGGGGTTGGTGGTTGAGGAAAGATTAGCAAACCTTAGACAGATACATATGGACAGGGTATTTATCAGAAGGGTAATTACAGTTCAGGTGCTTTAAAGTTTCTGTACATGTGGCCAAGGTGACACCCGCCCTCTCTCTGTCTCTCTCTTTTTTTATTGCTGCACACAAACAGTATATGCTGTTCTAATATAAACCTTTATGACTGTTACATCCAGAGGAGTTCTGCATTCCTATGTTAGGCAACATTGAGGATATTGTTGAAAAAAAAACCTGAAATGATCAGCACTAGTTATTCTTCAGTTTGTCTTCTGGACTTAAAGAGGAATGGGAGGTCAGGCTAATAAAAGACTCTTTGTAAAAGGGATTGACATGCTTTCCTTCCCAATAATTGGCTGTGGAAACTGTGAACGCGTAGAGTAATTGCATGTTTCTGTATTTTAATTAGTGCTGTAGCTTATTGCATGCTGCTTTCCCAGGTGGCCTGTAAATGCACCACACACAAGACCAGACAGCTGCTGTTAGTAGCTGTGCATCACTTTACATTAATCAATAGATAGTAGCTTCATTAAATCATTTTCATTCACATCCCATAGAACTTTATCCTGCATAATGCTGTCTTTGTAGAGACAGTAACTTAACGTGGAACATTTAAAAGAATTATCTTTCCTATATGTATTGCAGTACATATCTTTTTTTTGTATGTCAATTGATATTTCTTTGATGTCAGCCAGTACAGACAAATTTAATGTAATGGGAATTGAACAAGGGTAATTATGTGCTTGTACTGTATGTGGTCTAGTAGACGTCTGGCACTGAAGGCTGGTAGCATGAAAATTGCTTGTAGTTAAATTGTTAAAGTATAATATAGTTTCTTAAGAATTTAATAAGAATGTGTGTCTTTCATGCATGCCCAACACATATAGCATGGTGCCTTAAACATATTGATAATCAGATGTGAAACAAATGGAGTTTCACAATATCAATGATGCCTCATGCAAAGATCAAACATAAACCGAAAACTGATTCCATAAAATGTTAACATTTCTATTTGTTATGTACAAAATTGTGCAGGCAACAACCTTTGTGAGACAACTGTGATCCTGATCGTCATACATTATTCACACACCTTCTTAAGCATTAAAGTCTCTTTTATTTAACAGGAGAACAAAAGAACAAAAATTGTTGCAATCAATTTACAGCAAACACTTTCTGTCCTTAATAACATTTCACAATAAATGAATAAGGTTTGATCAGAAAACCTTAATAGGTACTAGTCAACATGCTTTGCAGTGTTTGACGTCAGGAGAAAAATGTAATATTAAACTAATAGCATCTACTATGTATAAGCAAATTGATATTGGATTATGTGTACAATCGTGTGTTGTCATATCAACTGTCTTTACATGCTTGAAAGAATAAATCAAATCAAATCAAATCAAACTCATGTCATCTTTAACTAAATGTTGGGTGTCAAGTGGGGGCCCAGTGAGCCTGGACGTTGATTAAAAAAAGCGTTTTAAATATGATTTTTATGTATTAATTCAAATTTCTCCTCTCCACATTTACCCGCTGCTTGGCCTTGTACCTGGATAGTAATGTGTGGCTCTGCCTGCCAGATTATTTCTTGCCAAATCTCTGGGGCACAGCCATACTCCAGATCTGACCGGGGGCAGCCTCCCATTCATGTGAATGTATCTGCTCCTCCGACACTACCCGCCCTGTGGATCCACGGCCAAACCTGTGAGGAAGGAGAAACAAGACAGGGTTAATTTATGAGTCCTTCTTAAAGACATTTTTAATACACAAACCACAGTTGGTCAAACAATAGTCACAAACTGCAAATAGAAATAAACTCATGTATAATTTTTTCTTGTGTTGCCAAACCTTTATTTAACTGATTAGAGCAGAAATGACTCTAGGTTAAAGGTAACAGAATACTACAGGCTACAGCTTAAGTAAAATATTTAAACGATAAAGGTTGAGATGACAATTTCATCTTAAAAACACGACTTAATATAATTCATATATGGAAAATTGGATTTTGAATTTTCAACATGCACTTGCAATAAACAGATACTGATAGCTCCTGTATTTTAAAAAACTGGACCCATTTGAAGAGCTACAAAAAAGCTAATTTTTTTTTTTCCCTCATTAGTGCTGGTAAATATTAGGTTTCACTAGGAACTGCTATGTAGAAGGTTCATATAGTACAGTTTAATAGACTGACAATTTCCTATGTTGGCTTTTTATGTATGTGTCATAAATACCGACTCTCATGTCCCTGACCTCTGTGGCTGATGGAGGACAGAGGTCCTGGTTTCCCTCTGCGAACCGAGCAGCAGAGCTCTCAGCACTGAGGTCAGTAGGTGATCATCAATGCTGTTATCTGTGTTTTCACCCTCCTGCAGCACACCAACACAGATGCACACATGCACAATCTAGCAACAAAAAATGTGTATTTTCACTGAGAATAAAAACCCTACAAACACATCTTGAGAACTTCTAGAACGTTAACTGCGTTCAGTTTTGGGCTGCAACACAAACCCTGAGGGTTTTTAACACAAGCCTGTCTGTACTGCTGTGGTAAGGGACCTCGAGATAGATAGATAGACATACAGTTAGATAGATAGACAGACAGATAGATAGTTATTGTATTATCATGCTCATCCGAATATCCATCCACCTTTATCCTTATGCAAAATACTGTAAAACATCTATCTGTCCTTGCCTGCCACGAAGAGAAAATCTCATACTCTGTCTGTTAAGACCCAAATATATTAGACTATTTCATTCAGTTGCGTGAAGAGGAACACTGTCTGAAATCTAATAGGGCTCCATGATTTAGCTTGTCTCCCTTGATTAAAGTGGTAACATTTCTATTTATATCCAGTGTTACACAGAATGAAAGGTTTCTCAGAAAAATTACTTTAATTCAATCTAATGTGCACAGCAGATCATCCTTTTTTAAATACTCCCTATACACAAGCAATGTATTTTAACACATAACCAGCTGCATCTGAGATGTTTCAAAATTAGATTTTCATTTTCAGATGCCAAAAATCATTTTGACAAATTGAATAACAAGGGAGAGAACATGCATAAATGCTGTAATTCTAATCTTATATTTCCACATCACAACTAGAGATACATCAAATAGTAAAGCATGACAATGAAGTACTAAATCTGCAACTCAAGTGTGAGTGGTTTGTTGTCTCACCAGCCCCAGCAGCTGGTTAGCCATGTTCTCCTCTGAGCCACCTGGCAGGATGTCATTTTTGTCCAGATTGCCTTGGATACGAAGAGCCTGACTGATGCCAGCCATTGCCATAAGTAGAGTTAGAAGAGTCACCACTACAGCTGTGTCCATGGTCTCAGGCTAGAAAGGAGGTCATATGAATGCAGACAACAAAAGTGGGAAAAGAAGAGGAGGATGATGGTCACCTAATGGAACCTGTCGACTTCAAACTTTGGCTCCTGGAGAACAGAAGAAGGGTCAAGAGTCCTCGTTGTGCAGGCGCCTGGCTAATGTGAGTGGCAGTAACATCTTTGCCGAGTCTTATATACACCTCACAGTCACTGACCGGAACCCCCCCAAGTGAGAAAGATGCTACTGTAGAAAGAGGAACAGGGGACAAGAAGGAGGAAGACGCATCCCCTAATACAAGGCTTAACCAGGCCCATTTAGCAGGATCAGGGCATTAGTGATGACTGAGTGCCAGAGTGTGTTATTATGTGGCCCTTAGGGTAGTGCAACACAACTCTCCCTGTTATTAAACAAATAAATCCCTGTAAATGGACTCTGATCCACTAGTCCCTGCTGTCCGGTAGTCCTCACTGCATGTATAAACAAGCAATAACTGAAAATACTCACTACGCACGTAATCATGCATCAGTGTGAAGCCGATTAGTCCTGACGACCTAAGTGACCTTAAAGTAGGTAACAAAGTAATGAACCTTAGAGTGACATGTTTACTCATGAGTAGTTTTTTTAATATTTTGCTCTAGCACTATAACCATATCACAATCAAATATCGTCGCACTATGGTGTTTGTATCATTGTTACCAATTCATTCTTCAGTAAGCATCACCCTCAGAGTTTTAATTGCTTATCAGGTTAATGCTGTGGATCTTTATTTTTATTTATCGGGATTATCTTGAACGTGTAAGCTACAAAGACCATGTGCAAGATACCATATGTAAAAACAAACTACAAGTAGATGCTTCATGTTGTTAATGTTGTAAATGTCATTATCAGGAGATTCAGGACCATAAAAGTTTGAGTGATAATGACTACTTGAATATAAAGCGCACTACAGGTAAATAGGGTATGGGTCATAAAGCTTTGCTTACACAGTACAAGAGACAATTTTATGAGTTCTTTAACATGCTGATGAAGAGTTTGCAGAAAGCAGCTTCTCCCAAAGGAAAGAGGGTCATAAAATGAAGCCCACTTATTTAAACATCAGCTTCCATCATTTTACTAATTTCAAACAAAGTCAACTTTAGGCTTTATTTGTGAGAGGGACACACAGAGAGTAACACAAGAACCATATAACTTTATCTCTTCTTTGCGTTACTGTGTGCAAAGTGTGTGTGTTTGGGCCGTTGTATTACTTACTTTGTATTGTATTACTTACACTATGCAGACTTGTTTTTGCGTTACTGTGTGCAAAGTGTGTGTGTTTGGGCCGTTGTATTACTTACTTTGTATTATATTACTTACATTATGCAGACCTGTTAACACGCTCACATTTTAAGGTGGCAACATGGTTTAAGGTTAGGTGTTAGGTTAAGGTAATGTTCAAGGTTAGGGTTAGGCAAGTAATGGTTATGGTTAAGGTTAGGGTTAAGTCTACAGGAAATGAATGTAAGTCAATGTAAAGTCATCACAAGGAACGCAAACACTGCATTGTGTGTGCGTGCTGTACTATGATTCTTGATGAGACATCAGCAGATTTGGCTAATGGGTGACAATGCACTTAAAATGCACACACACACACCTACAGAGGCACTGTCCCTGTTTACTGTCATAGCAACCAGGAACATCTGAAGGATCCTGGGGGAAATGAGTTTTTATTGCTATAATAAGATCATAAGCTTTTGGATTAGAGAAAAATCTAATTTGCTCACTCTGGCATGAAAGCAAAAGAGCCGAAGATAAAGTTATTTCTAAACAGAAGTATTTAATAAAAATGGCACCTTCTTCTTCCCCCGCCGGCTGCTCCCGCTAGGGGTCTTTAATAAAAAATGGCATATTTTACATAAATACAGTACATTTAATTTTATGTGATCACCTTGAGCAATAGGTTGGTTCTGATTCAGCACAGGTCCAGTCAAATCAAACATTCAAAATAATGCTGTAAATGTGTATTTTTAAAAGGCTTTCTTGGAATAGGTCGACATTTTAGAAATACACTTATTTTCTTCCTTGTTGACAGTTGGATGAGAAGATAGATATGATTCAAATAAGATACAGCTACCAGCTGGTTAGCTTAGCTTTGCATAAAAACTAGAAACAATAGGAAACAACTAGCCTGGTTCTAAGATCCAAAAGTTAAAAACATCAGCCTACCAGCAACTTATCACGTTTAGCATAAAGACTAAAAACAGGAAAATGCGTACAGTCACCTATGCTTGAAGGCAAAAATCAAAAAAATCAGCTGCATAAAGCTGCTGGGAATTTAAATGGATCTAAAGGAAAAGACCACATATGACCAATTTAATCATCTTGCTGCTGGTAGCCAGTTAGAAAAGGAAACGAGCTGAAGATTTAAAACTCAGGTCAGTCTGACCCAGAGCTATAGATGGCTGACATTTTATTTTATTTTTGCTTTATTTACTAAAGAAAGACTGCAACAAACCCATTCTCATATGTACCACTAATCTACAGTATGCCCGTGTGGTGCAATATGCATCTCCCCATGTTATCGAGTCACACTTCAAGGTTATAGGCAACATTTCCATAAAAACCGGAAACAAAATTATTACAATTTATTTCATACAAGTACTGTTTCTGTTCCATACTTGAAATGGAAAGATTTGCACGTTATATCAATCTAAATTTCTTGTGTATCTTTAGACAGTTATGTTTATACAAATATAATCTAAATAGTACGGACAATCAGAGTTTTGCCGCCATCTGCTGTTTCCTAAATGAACCGCAGCTTTCATAACTCATTACTCGACATTGTTGTACCACTAAATGAGGATGGCATGCAAAACTAAAGTTGTTATATGGGTTTATTTTGTTTCCTTTAATTTTATTTACAATGCTACAACAGTGCAGCCAATCAAAATATAAATAAAACAGCCATGACAAAACAATGAGGGGAACAGCAGCACAGCAACAGGAGTTTCATGCAGCTAAATAGAAGATTGTCCAGCAATACCTAAAAACAAGCTGACTTTTCATGCTTTACAGCCACTTCATCAGCCCAATTTTGATCCAGAGAAAATTTATCTCATTCAGACATATTCTGCTCTTCAAGAAATCTTCATGTTCATGTTGTCTCTCCCTTGTTCATGCTGTCTGTGTGTTTCCACAGGTGTCCTCCAGATGTTTCACGGCAGAATGATCTAATCTGCAGCAGCCTTGTGTTCTTAACCAATAGCTCAAAATCTGCCACTTTTATCATAAGGCACTAGTATGCAATTAGAAATATCAGTACCAAAATTGATGTACAGTCTTACCCTGACTGGTATGACCTGAGTACATGACCAGGAACAGTGTGACAAGCAGGTTAATATACTAGAATAGTTTGGAAATTACAGTATTTATACAAAGCCCATAACGTCTCCTAATGAAATACCTTTACATCTCATTAGAAAAGAATGGTGTCACCTGTTTTCAATTCAGTCATAAATAGAACTAGTGTAAATGTGTAATGCTATATTCTTATAGAACACGGCATTCATTCCTAAAAAAAAAAAGCTTGCCTTCTAATTTTTAACACTGACAATACACATGGGCAGACTACATTTTAAATAGCGCTTCGCTCTTCTGACATGTTTGGTTTTCATGTGACAGCAGTGCTACAGCTGTGACTATTACAGGCTGTATCGTGGCTTTTTTGTTCTTAGGTTGCTTCACGTAATGAACTACTGATGTACAGTACATTTAAATGGCAAATTATAGAAGTATAAAACTGTGAAGGTTCCTGATTTACAAGGCTTTTATCTCCTTGAATAAAGATGTACAAAATCCATCAGGTAAACTTCTTTAATCACTTGTTCATTAAGCCCAGAATACAACACATTCAGAGCTCTGCAACAAATTTCACTTTATGATTATCTTACATACTCACATTTTCCTTTATTTATTAGTGCTAACTTAAAGAATATCCTGAAGCATTTATATTTTTAAAAAAGTCTTTTTTTTCAATGCCCATGTCAGTTGCCAGTCTTACAGTAGTTAAGGCAAGAAAGTAGTCTTTGTCACAGGCAGTGGCTTCTTCATAACAGTGTCCAGTGTGTTTATATGCATCTAATATTTTATTGTATGTTTGTGCATTCATGCATGTCTTTGAGTTGTGTTTCCCTGTTCTTTGTTGTGCCAGTCAAAACCGATGACCGATGATGAGCACCTGTGCAGACTGTGAAAAGATACTGAGTAGTTAGTCTGGTTCTAATGTTGTTGTGGGTCTTCAGTATTTATTGTAAAACACTGATAGGAATGCACAGTATACTGTAACTAGACTAAGGCCAGCCATTAATGGGCTACACAGTGGGAGAATATAGAGCCAGCCACAGTGTAACAGGCTACCAATATGCAAGTACTGACACAGTACAGCACGCACAAGATCTCATAATCTCAGTCTATGTGCACTTCTTTTAGTCTGTTCGTTCCAAAGACACAATGAATACCACACATGTTGATTTCAATTAATTCAGTCAGTCAATGCTTCACAGCGAGTTAAGAGGTCCCATCAGTCCAGTGCGTGGCCCATTCCTTTTTATGGATAACTCCTGACTTCTCAGTCTGGAACTGTGGCCGGTTCTCGTGAGGAATCTTCACCGCATGGTATTGAGGCAGTTTGTCTTTGTAGTGGGCCCGTCGGAAGAAGCCACACTGCCGACACAGGAAGGAGGAGAGAGGGTAGGAGTAGATAAGGAGGATGAAAAGAAGAGAGGGATGGAGGGAAAGAAAGGAGTGCAAAACAAAGAATTAACTGATGTCATACATACAGTACTGTGTAAGACTATGACTGTCCTTGTTTCAGGTTTTATAAGGTTAGATAAGAATGTCTTCTTTGAAATATCCACATGCTCTGCATTTCTAATCCAGCACCAGTGTTAACACGCAGGCTGCTAAGAAAATGTGCACACATTACTATGAACAACAACATCAACTGATATTAATGACAAGTTCATTCTGGCACCTGGAAAAATGAATTTGACTTTGATTTTCACTTTATTACTCAATGAGATGGCCTTTGTTTGTGCCTGTGTAGTGGTATCTATGAAATTCCTGAACATTAATGAAATGACTGACATTATGTTGTACATTATTATGTAAAGTACCCTGAGATGATTGTTGTTGTGAACTGACACTATACAAATAAAAATGAATCGAATTGTCTTGGTTCCCAGGATGTGCACTGTTTCATGCACAATACAGAAACAAAACATTTGACCAAACAACAAAACAAATAAACACATATACATTACAGATGCGTCGATGCAGTGCACATCAATGTAACTACTCACTAACTACTCATTATTCGGTGCTTGGTCTACACAGGTATTCTGAGATCTACTAAGCAACCAAACTGGTTTCCATTCCAAGGAACAAACAGTTTATTTAATCTGTTCTGTCTAACCTGTGGGGCTCATATTCTTCAAATTAAATATGAAAGGGATCTGATGATGTATTATAGCCAGCAACATGTACTTTGTATACACAGTTTTAAAACTTGAACAACTTGGGAACACAGCAACAGAATCTGCGTGTTGGCTCCAAAGGCCAGTTGAGATACAAATGAAATAGGAGTGTTAATAGCCTGAAAAGTGCCTGACAAGCACAATCCTGAAAATAAATTAAGTTCACAGACTGGTGCCAGACTGAACAAGTGCAGATAACTAGTTACACAGTAACACCAACAGAGGCACAACCCACAGCACAGCAGAGCCTTGAAACAAAGATGGCTGGATGGTGTTCATTAGGTGCATGTTAAACAGAAGAAGCAATGCTGTCTCAAAATTAATTTTAAGACCATAATTAGTTTGTATTTTTATTATATAGTGTACAGATGTTTATACA